TTCATAACTCTAGCACCAATATTATCAGATTTATCTCCCCTTGAACTTAAATTTTTTCTTAAAAATATTATTTTTACTGTAACTTTTTTATTACTTAAGGGATCAACTTCATACTTCAAATATATGTTCCTTATCATTAACCAGACCTTATGTGACAAAGTTTATAACTCTGGGCCAATTTTTGCAAAAATTTACTCCTTTTAATTTAGTTTTTTTTACTGAAAAATTTTTTTTTTTACTATACTTTTTTATTTTTAAAAAGGAAATCCCTAAAAATTAAAATACAATTCCTGATCATAAACAAGATTTATGTGAAAAGCAAATTCGAAGAAAATTTTTTAAATTTTTAACTCCCTTTGAACAAAAATTTTTTAAAGAAATATTATAAATTTTTTTTTTAAGGGTTTTACTTAAACTTCAAAAATAATTTTTATACAGTTGGACAAAGGGCCATAATCGTTGACTATTTTCCCGAATGTTCCCCTTTGAACTTGGGAATTTTTTTTAACAAAAAAATTTTTTGTCACAAGAAAAAAATATTTATATCAAATATTTTTTTTTTATGTTTTGTGTTCCCTTTCCGTCAGTATTTTTTTCGAACTTTTGTATTTTCTGGACAGCTTTTTTGTTTTAAATTTTTTTTAAAATTATTTATGATTTTTGTCCAGAACCACTGTGGTTGTTTTGCAAATATGTCTCTTGCTGCTGATAGTTGGATACTTAAGGTGAATTTTATTATGACAGGAAAAGTAGTTATAGTTAACAACGTGAGGTACATGTAAAACACTTATAATGACCTGAGCAAAATGGATTAAGATTTGTGAAAGATTTTTTAACTGTTTATAGAGTACCTAAGGAAGAATTTATAGGCAACATTTTCTTATGGGCTGCATGAATTTTACGGGAAAATGTTGATAACCGACCTTTCATTTAAAGAGAAAAATTTGATATGCATAAGTTGTTCAAAGTATTAAATTTTTTTAAGGATTGTGAATGCATCAAATTCAAGTTTATTTTGTACCATAATGATTCAATATAAATCTAAAACCAAAAGGCAGTTTAATGTTTTAACATATGACAGCCTCGCCTGTATATTGATCTTGTGAAGAAAAAAAAACAGGTAAAACGAAGATCTGAATGGTAGAGTGATATGTCAAAATTTTATTGGACGATTCAATAATCAATGTAATTTGCCAAGGCAATGAAAATGAACCAATAGAAATGAAGCTTATAATTATTAACATCTGTTACCAAAATCTTCTTAATAAATACTGATGATTCGCTCAGATTATCATCTTGTCATCTGAACAAAAGGTAAGTTTTTACTTATTTTAACTTGTATTGTCTTTAACGTTTTGTTCAATCTTTGATACTGTGAATTTGTAACAATTATATTAAGGATATTTATTTGGAAAAATTAAGGTAAGTCAATTTCTAAACTGTTTTGTTTTAATTATTATTTGATCATTCTGAAGAGCATCTTCTGACTATAATTTATGATCATAATTTATGTTCAAAATTATTTCTATAATTTTGAGAAATTACTGAAAAAATATTTGTTTAGTTGAAAATGGCAGAATTTATATCTATGAAATAAGAAAATAATTACAATATTACTTATGAATTAAATGATGATAAATTGTATGGCATGATTTGATTATTAATGCAGACATTTAGATAAATAAATTATCGAGTCACCACTTAATTTAGAACTAAACTGATTTCCATTAACCTAAAACATAAAATTTAAATTTCTCACATAGATCAGCTGGTGCAATTAAGACAAATAAAATATGCAACAGATAATTAATAAATTGAAAACTGTATTTTTATGTTAATCTAAACATGATCTTTTTTACAATCACAATAATTATTCTTGAAAAACGTAGCGAGCGAATAATTTGAAATTTTGCATTAGCGTAATTCTAGATATTTTGGACAACACCCATAAAAGTCAATTATAACTCGTATGTTGGATACGCTATTCACTTGATAATGAATAAAATTTTAAAAGCAATGTAAAATATTTATAAGTGTTTAATATGAGATTATATTATTTCAGTTAGAAATTATAAATCGACCAATGAAAATCATACTTATATTCAGTTGTTTCCTTTTTATTTTACAACGGTTCAAACGGTTCTCAGAAAGAAAGAAAATAATTTGCTTAATAACACACTTAATAACATTTGAAAATCACTGAGGCTAATGATAATTTATTATCCTTCAAGTTTAACGTTGCATGTCTTAGTAGTGCTAGACACATGTAAAATATTCCGAGATTGATTAAGCAAAATGTTTACAGTAACGATTGATTGTTTTATTAAAAGGAGAATTGACTAAAAAATACATGGAATGTTATAAAGCTATATCTTACGAAATAAAATATCAAATTTTTAAGCAGGATAGTTATGTCGTTTCCATTATACTCGGTCAATTCTTGGAAAAGTTGTAATATAATACTATGTCTATTGTTTTATACACATGAATATTGTATGTAAACAGGATCAAATAATCTGGAACAAAATATGCTGCTATTTCAAGTGAGATTTTAATTGTTAAATGATTTTTTGAATACATCATTTGCTCTAAAAGAAATATTCAAACATACTTCCTTAATACAGACACTTTTGAAATATTCTTTTTCAAAATTCAAATAACAATTTTTTGAAGCAGATATCTATAACTTTAATAAAATTATTTTAAAAAATAAGACGAAAAAAACAAGATGATTATAAATCACAATTATAACAGATGACCAAAACTTTTAATTTGATTTTATTTATTCTTCCAAAACTCTACATATTAACAACATATAATTGAAATCTCTATTACAATTGATGATTCTCAACGCTGTCTAACAATAATATAATACCTAAAGTTTCTAAAATGTTATTAAATTATTTACCGAAATGATTTTAGAATTTATTTTTGTTTCGAATTCGTTTTTAAGTCGAATATCAATTACTTATATTTATTTGGTATATTTTTTCATATTAAACAATTAAGGTATTTATAACATAAGATTAGCCGGTACATCCATGCAGTCTTATCATGGTATGCAATTAAAACTGATGGATTGAAAAATGTACAAAGGATTAAAGGCGAATAATATTCTTAATAATAAAAATAGGAAAACGTGCAGTGATTCAAGATGTGATAAATGCATACTAAAACCCTTTATTACTAACTTATTATACGGATGCGCACATAGGAAATATATTTTACAAAGAGTTTTTAACTATTTCTTTTCGTTCACATATGTTGTGTATTTTTTTTATTATTTTAGAATGTATGTGATAATGTATAAAGTTATAATTTAAAACAAATCACCACTAGAAATATTCAGTTTTAGATTTGAAAACATTCTAAATTTTGAAAAAAAATCGAAAAAGTATAAAAACAATTTTAAATTTTTAAAAAAAAAAATAAAAAAGCCGCCCTCACGACAAAACCCAACATAGGGGGGGGCCCCCAGCATGGGTCCAGACAGCCGCGCATCCGCGCAGTCTATCGGATCCATACGTTTTATCAGTTTTTTATTTGTTTAGAGTTTTTAAGCAACAGCTGGGCCTGACAGACGCGCGGGTGCCAGCTTTGCTGGGCTGATCCATCTGGTCGCAAAAACCCTTATGTTGGTTTTTTTCAAAGACGCGGGTCAAAAGTACATAATCATTCATTTTAAAATAAGGCTAAATATATGAAAGATCTATGATAAATAGAGGATATTTGGTTGTTTCTGATTTAAAAAAAATTGTTTATTATCACGAACGCGAAGCGCCAGTAGTATGTGCATATTGTTTCAAACTTTAATGTGAGTTAGATGGCATAATCATAAAGCCTAACACATTTTATTCTATGCATAATAAGCAAAAATATCAAGTTTTACAAGTTTTTATTTTATTTATGACAAAATTATTTCAAAGAATACATTATATAAAAAGTAATATTTACAATACATCTTAATAAAATAGTATTTTCCTGCAATATTTCATTGAGGTAATCCATGACATTATGTAGAAATTTAGGAAAATTTAATTACTTTTTCTTATCATTAGTTAAGAGCATAAAAGAAAATTGATTATTACGCAGAATATTCAAGACTGATAAATAAAATTTGTCTATAGACAGCCGAATTTGATGTTTGTTTCCATGCGCTTAGTTTCTGCCTCTGATTTATTACAATGGCACGTATTAATTGAAATATTATTACCGGGCATTTGTAAGAGGAAAAAAAAACATAACAGAATATGTACTCTATTTCTGACTTAGGCTCAACAAATATCATCGCACACATACATATTTACGTATATTTATTATATTGAATGCAAATCATGTAAATTTAAAATAAATAAATAAATAAAATAAAATAGATAACTATATTAATATACCATATTGATACGCTATTCTACTAAATTGTCTATCAAACGTTTAATTACAAAAAAATATTGCCAATTTTTATGTAACCAATTTTCTGACTGCATTTAACAATAGTATGAATTTGTAAAAACTCGGTTTCTTGAAATAAACATACATTTGTACTTGAAAAATTGCTATAAAAAGGACATATTAATATAAATTGAAATTCATCCTCTCCATCCTCAGTTATACACATTGTGCTTTTTTTACTTCTTTCAAAACCCGTATGTATTTCAGATTTAATATGTAGTTTTGGGGAACGGAATCTTATTTTTTCATGTACTGATATTTTTTGATTTTTTTTTGCATTTCCTAACATTAGTATAATTATAAGGAAGAGCATAACGCCATGTCTTCTTGCCATTGTGTTACATATATATCTGGATACTGGTATAAAATTTTTAATATTTACCGATTCTCGAAATAACCAAACTCCGACAGAATCTGCGTCTTGATACCGTTCGATGACCAATTAACAGCATTCGAATAGTTTGATATACATGTATCTTTTTTATTATTTTTTTTTTATTTTGGAACTTATTTGTTAAAATTCAGTTTTGACTATTCGCCACGTGTAACTTTAATCGATTTTTTTTGCTGTCATCCTTACATAAATCTAATTCAGAATACAATGATCGAGTATTTGTTAACATTTTAACATTTAATAACCACAGATGGTTTTTATATTATTTTTAATGGCAAAATGAGAGTTTTTAGTTTTTTTTATATAAAGTGGTCATTTAGGTTTGGCTCTGAATTATTTCAATAGCGCATATGAATTGAATTTGTTTTCTTTTAGACGTTTGCAAGAGGAAACACAACATAAGAAGGTGAATTTAATGACTTACAAAACTTCTTTTCAGCATTGATGTCATTACTTATGCCCTCTCCCTTTAAGTGTATATCTATGTCAGACAATAAAACAATAGCTCATATGTTTTTTTCAACACTTGTTTTTGTATTTTAACTTAAGACAAAAGTTAGGAGTGCCCTGAGGCACCTATAGGAATAGTCCTTGGTTAAGGCTTAAAATTATACTTAAGACTTTTCTTGAAATGCAGTTTTTCCACAGTTTTGCACTTAAGACTAAAATCGGTGCTAAGATACTTTAAGAATCGCACCTTTGTTGTATAGATCTATGAGTAAATGTTTTTGTTTGCTTTCTTTTTTTATAATGTAAAAGTTATATTATTAATATCAAAGTATGCTTCAATTTCAAATCTATTTGTGTCGTCTAAGGAATTATGCGCAACATACTGATTTAATTGTTATCTTATATTTATACAGGAAAAAGTAAACTCTAGTATCAAAACAAAAGAACAGGTTCAGTTATGAAAATTTTGACTTTCCTGCCAGTGGTAAGGCTAATTTCCTTTATTGTGCCGAGGATTATTTAAAACCCTCTTTTTCTTTGATTTTCATCATGTATTGTCTCTTCATGGCTGTCTCGCATTTTTTCTATATTGTGTACTTATAAAGAGGCGAGCAGATTTAAAGTCATCGTTGGATACCCACGTTTGATACAAGTCATATAACACGGCTCATATACCACAGACACTTGGGGTTTGGAGCTCAAAACGCCTTTAAAATCCAAATAAAATGCATATTTGTCAATCCCAGCACATGTACTGATCATATATATCAAAAAAAACTTAATATAAGCCGTTTTGAAAAAAAATCATATTTCAACATCTATAATTATACATTATATATTGCATTTTTTTAGCTTTTTAGCTCGACTATACGAAGTAGTGTGCTAATTAACTCACTTTTTACTAAATCAAAATATCATTATTATACCTTCCTTACTTGGAAAAGGATTTTTATTTCAATCTGCTAATATTTACCATGATTATCCCCATCTAAAGTTGTAAATATTGTATGTGATAACTTCTCAGTTTTTTTCTGTCTTTACGAACATTCATTACTTTGTCTGTACGTATGTTTCATCTTATACAACTTAATATTTAAATAGATATACTGTATACTGTATTCATTATAGGCTGGAACCGAAAATGATTAGCCTTTACAGCCAGTATAGAGCCAGTATAGAGCCAGTATGGATATGTAAATGTTTAACTTTGTTTCAGGTATTTGTTCTTTTAACACTCTTTTTAACGTGTGTTGAATTACATTCTTTGAGGATTGGGCCGAAAGGGAAAAAATGCATTGATAACTGCCAGGTAAGTTTAGCGATGACATAGTGGTTAAAATGTCTGCCTTTCAACCCAGGAAACATGGGTTTGAGCCAAACCCCGGTTACGACCATGTTTCTTCATATGACACCAGTACTGGTTGGTTCCAGGAAGCGGACTCGAACATGATTGATATAAGTTGCAAGAACTTGTTTTGCAATCAGCTAAAAACATGTATATTTAAACTAATTGCCAGTTAAATTTTACATTCCTTTTATTAATTAGAAATTAGTTTGATATTTTTTGTTGTTTTTTTTTTCTTTTCCAAGATGACCAAACGGTCGGATGGAAGAGGAAGTGGGCATAGTAACCAGTATTAGAATTGAGAACCGCTAGAAGCCGGTGCTAGTTGGCGTGAGGGATGATGCACTTCTTCATTATCTTTCATGAGCAGACTTATTTAAACCGAGTCTGCAATTCTTATGTAATTTTGTTGTGATTAATGCTTCCGAGGGATCACTTTGTTTCCAGATTTCTATCAAACCTAGATTACCCTCCTATTTGTTATATTTACTTTGCTCAATACAATTTTGTTTTACTTGTATTTTGTCATGTACAGTTGATATATTTTGATTTCAATGTTACATACTTGTAGTCTTTTATGTGGAACATATAAGGATATTTTCTTTCTTTTCAATGTTATCATTTTATGAAAAAGGTTTTCATTTATTTGTATATAGTGTCCAAATGGTACAGCTTGTTTGCCGGAAAGTAACGGGGTTGGTAGTGGGAAGAGAAGGAAAATATGTCTGCCTTGTAAGTCTCAATATTTTAGTCACGTGACAATATGGCGGTAGTTTGATCGTAAGGATATTGTATCTGTATTATTATATGACCTAATACGATTAATAAATGACAATTACGTAATGCATTGATTACTAATGTTTTCATGGAAAATCATTGATTGAACTAACATACTAATTATTATAATGATTGCCAGTTTGAGTCAATGTCATTATTTTAATTTAGTTTAAGTATATGTGTAGTTTACACTTTAATGTAACAATTATCATTTTACATTTTTGAATTAGGCTCATGCAGGGAGATGTCACAATGTAGAAAACCTTCTAACGAAGTTATATGTGACTGTTCCAACTCGGGTTATACAGGGAGTAACTGTGAAACTGAAATTGGTAAACTCTTTTTCATACCTGTACTCTGCGATAATTGCAATGTTTACATCCCTAAAAACTTTACACGGATTTTTTTGCTTTATATGTCATAAGTCAATGTGATAATTTGCCGGAAAACCCATGAGCATTTCATGATATATACACACATTATTTTGCCAATTATCTTTTTAAAGTCTAAGATGTTTCCCAACTACTTCATTGTTTACACACTTTAGATTTGCTTAAATAAAAACATCTACATATTCCACTTGAAATGTTCACCCGTTTATAAAATAGAAATGAAATCATCAATTTCGCGCATGTGACAGATAAAAGTTTTAATTTTCATTCCTCGTTACCTTTTTAGATTTAACATTTAATTTGGTTAAAACTGACATACTTCTTTTCTTCTGACTCAAAAAATATTTATTCGAATTCTAGCACAGGCATAAATTGTATTATTTCATATATATTGTTATCTTAAAAAGAACATTTATATTAATAAATATGTCCATGACTGTTAAGACATTTAAATCCGTCACTTTAATTGGTGTAACATAATATTAATTCCTAAAGAAAACGTAAATACGAATCATTTTTCATTTAAAGCAGCACGCCTCCAGATTGACGCTAATTTTCATGAAAAATTTGAAAATGTATTTGAATTTGAATATTGTGAATAACCAAAAGGAAGCAATTTACGCGTTATCAATGTCACATATAACCAACGTAAATTACCAAAAAGTGGACAAAATATGGATAAATAGCCCTTACTGCGTTAGTAACGCAGTAGAAATATAATTGTACATAATGAAAAATCAGTCGTTAACCGCACAGATCATGTAAAATATTACTTGAATCTTGAATCATTTTGCTTTTCCTAAAAGCATAACTCATATTTCTCAAGTTTGATTTTATTGAAATTATTTTGACTCATCTGGAGGCATGCAGCTTTAAACGTATTGGTATTTCGTAGAAACGAAATGATATGACAAAGTCGTAGTCCCAGGTTGAAGTAATGTTTGACAACATTTATCCACTCCTGGCCTTTCACAGTTTAATGCAATGTTATTTCGTTTTTACAAAAAAAATATAACGATTGTAAGTTTACGAAATTCATTTCGTACTGATGAAATATTATTACGTTATTACGAAATATTATTAAGTTTGAAGACATAAAACGTAACTGTGATACAATTGTTCTTTAGGGACACCATGCGGCAGTCATGAAGCATGTAATGAAGGAGACACGTGTCCCGACGGATGGATTAAATTCCAATGCAGTTGCTATATGTATGTCTCTACGGAAGTAGATTGGCAAACTGCCAAAGTAATATTATTATTCTTTTTATTTCAATATTTGATACTATACTAATAATTAAAGTCTTTCTTTACAAAAATTATGGTCTGTGAAGTTATATTTTTATATACTCAACTGATTACATGTTATTACTTTGTTACTAACAAACACATAACGTTTGCGTACGAAGAAGTTGTAAATCTTTAAAATAAGTTAATGTATTTATGCCATTGGATGATACAATCAAGGACACACGGTTAGTCCGCTTCTTGAAATTCTCAGTACTGGTGACGAGACAAACAATTAAAAAAGAAAATAAGAATCTTTAAAAGCAAGCGGTTTTTGTCATGATTATAACATTCAAAAGCATCAATATAATTCATTATTTAGATTCCCAAAACTATTTGTGTTTGCTAGTACAATAACGAATAACAAAACATTGGTCCCAACAAGTGGCTTTTCATCATAATATAAGATAAGGACTCGCAACTTCTTCTTTGTCTCTCGTACCCACTTACAAACAAATATACATACTTGATATTAAAACATTAAATCAATTGTTATTGTTTCAAAGTTACCTTCATCTGGATGTCCTGCTGCGGTAGCTTAGATGTGTCGAGGACTGCGTCCGGTGAACGTTGCGTTTGCCTTGTTGATCTTTATTTTCGTTTTTATTTTCCTCTACTAAATGATTAGCATTTTTAACTGAGTTGGACAGAGGACATGATATATATTATACGTAAGTTATCTAGCTATAGACGTTACAAGATCAGTGCAAACATCGTATGTTATAGGACACAGAAGTTGTTTTTTACAGCATTTTTATATTGTGTTGTGTTTTCTCCTACAGAGCGACTGCCAATCTAAAGGTGCATACCTTGTTGAGATCACTACCAAAGCTGAAAGTGATTTTATTTATTCATTAGAAGAACTTAATGGTAAGTTATGAAACTGAACTGAAATTGAATTTGTTGTTTCTGGAAATCGCCATAAAAAGTCCTTGAATAATTATAAGTTTGTACTCCTACACATAGATAGTAACTAACTATTTAAAACGTCTGCTATGCCTGTCTCTATGGTTTGTATTTTAAAAATCTCACCTTTATCAAAATATTATATTTTTGGACATATCAGCCTAGTTTTATATTATTCTTAAATTATGCACATGCATTCTCAGCAACCGCCTTTGTAAGTAGCATGATAGATTTTGTTATCAGTTATTGAATGTAAAGAAAGACATACTTATTTTGGATCCGCCTCCGTGGTCGAGGGGTTAGAGTTGATGACTTCTAATCCAGTTACCTCTCTGGCGTGGGTTCGATCCCCGGGAGATGCTTTGGTAGTTTAGCACGGAGGAAGGTAGTCTAGTACTGGTGTAACTCTCCAGGAACGATGGTTAGGAAACTACCCGCCTATATGACTGAAATACTGTTGGGAAAAGGCGTAAAATGAAACAAACAAAGAAACAAAACAAATTTATTTTGGAAATATGAAAGCATTTCAGTGTACATGTACTTCATTTTGAAATGTATAAATTTATATGGTTGTATTGTTTAA